TGATGTAGTTTGTGGTGCACTTCATCAAAAATATTTTTCATTCCACATTTATACCCCACAAATATGGCAAAGATTAACATTTTCATTTCTAGAGTTATAGATCAGGAAAATCTGCAATGTTAGTACCATGAGTGCCTCTGAAGATCCCTAACCTGTATCTGGTGCCACCAACTTTAATAATATATATGTCATCTATAACTCTATTAACCTATGAGTAATATGTGTTTTCAATCTATCACATTTTGTAATAAATTTAGGGGGAATGTATTAGAGGATAATCAAATGGGTGAGTGAGTGAAGTTGTCTCCCTTTCCCCTCTTCCCTAGAACTGAAATATTTCTGACATCATTAGGTGGAATGGTGATTTTTTGCTTAGTTGGGGATGGAGTCCAACTGGGTCCACTCCGCATGGTGGCCACTGATTGGCCTATTGTAGCCTGCCCAGGGTGATTATGGTGATGGAGAATTAGGTGGAATGAAGACTGCCAGGGGAAACCGAAGTACTCGGAGAAAACCTGCCCCAGTGCCACTTTGTCCACCACAAATCCCACTTGACCAGATACAGGATTGAACCCAGGCTGCCGCGGTGGGAAGCCAGTGACTAACCGCTTGAGCTATGGCACGGCCATGGAATGGTGATTTAGTTTCAGCAGTGATTTTGTCTTAGGTAAGCACAGCATTATTTGCAATGTACTTTCATACAGAAAAAGCAGATCAATCTTGTAATGCGCATGGAATAACCCACAAACTGACTCCATTAATACCAATTTGAGAAAAAAATCTCATATGGCTGAAAAAATGGAAAATTATACTGCCCAGCCATATGTAGCTCACCAGTACTGAAGAATCAATACTACACTGACAAAATTTTCCTCATTTAATGGACATGAGGTCTTCAATCATCAAACATATGTAAATATTTAATCTATGAAATGATGTGACCAGTATTTTCAAACTTTGTGAAATACCTGTTTGTGTCATATCACTGTGACCAACATTCAGTACACTATTGCACAATATCACACCCAATGCCAATTTCTGTATGTGTATGAACAGTCAATTCAGAACAGCAGTCTGAATCATCATGAAAGCCTTTTGTTGGTGTTGCTGTTTCAGCTAGACTAATTTCAGCATTTCCTTTTCTTGAAACTATACCAACTACCTTGGGACACAGTGTGTTTCTGTATTAAATGATCTATTCAGAGAACACAACTGTACAGTGAAACCTTACTACTACACTCTCCAGGGAGCCTGACTTCTTTACTTGAACCACACTGCAATCCCTCGCCAACTGCGGATTTCAAGTGTCCACTCTCACCACTATCAATTCCAGTCACCACAGGTAAGATGTACTTCTTTTAAACATCTCAAAAGGCCAACACTTTGTCATGTACAACAATACAACCAGTTTAATGCCATGAAATTTAAATTCCAACTGCAAAGCCCCAGGAATGAAATCAGTAAATTACAGGGTCTTCATACCACGATACGTGCCACTCTTGGTGAAGGCAATGCACAGCATGTATCTTGTAAATTGATTTTACAAATTAACTACCATCAGTTTAGGAAGTGTGTGGTTAATGTAGAACAAAGCACACATACAACAAATGAGGCATTCTGCAGTCCATTACCTGCAGCCTGAATAGGTCTAACGTAAGGGGAAACAAAACACAATGCTCATGGCATAGAGCACTCTGCAAATTTTATCAAACCTTTAAAAACACTCCTGACAGACATACTTTACTAGATAATTACAGACAATGTAGAGAAAGAAATACAATTCTACACTGTTCATAACATTATGACATAAAAAATAAATAATCCTTTATCAGTTACACATAAATTTTGTGACTCTATATCCCAATACTAGTATATATTTAAATTATTGTTGCAGTTTTCCATGATATATATTTTCTGTCTTGTTATAAGCACTATTCTACATGATGAAAACTGTGATACTATATAAGATAACACTATGAACATTATTCACAATACAATTTCAGCACTGTGCTCACACCATCAGCACATCATGAGATTCTTGCCACATGCTGACTGTGAAGGGTAACATAAGGGAACAGATGTTTTAGAGAGGGAACAGTTGTTCTGTAAAACAAGCCTCCTGGGAACTACCTGCTACAGCACCTGCAAGCATGGACTAGTTGCAAGAGACAGAAAGAGAGACAAAGACACCATAAACACACACTCACTCTCCTTTGTTTCAGTGGTATCATATCCTCACACAAACATTTCAAAGGATCACTGACAATGTGAGCACAGACTTCTATCATCTTAGAAATTTCTGCCTGCTCTTGGTATTTTGAAAGTTAACCTGCACCATTCAAGTCTTCTGCAGCCCACTATTTTCACCTCTGCACCACCTTCATAGCAAAGCACATAAATGTACTGGTATGAAAGACAGGCATGCATAACTGCAAACATTATGTCTGGATATTTAATTAAGAATGATCACTGTAATTTGTATTACAGTTGCAGTAGCAGAGGGAATCAGCTGTCGAACTATTACAGCATGCTTGTATGCTCATGTATTACTAGATATGACTGGGTATCCTTCTGGCAGTGCTTTGGGAAGTTCTATATATGGCACAAAACAACAGATTCATTATGCAAATGCCACTTCGTTATGAAAAGTGTACAGTTACATTTCCACACTGTGATATCCAAGGGAACCAAAATTTGCACCTTGTTATACAAAAAGTCATTTATACAAATCTATATATTTTCCTGTCATAAATCACATTTTACATGTGAGATCTATGGTTCTCACAGCAGTTAGTTCAGGATCATAATTTTCTGGTACGTTATCTTTTACCCGGAATATGGAGGTGGTAGATTCCTCAAAAAGCTTGGTACCTACTTATGAACCCACACAGTATCACTTCTTAAGAGAATGTAATCTTCATATTTTATCTGGCTGGAAGTCAGGTTTTCCTGTACTGTTATGTTCTGAGGACAGAGGCTTGTTTTTATATATGGGTTTTAGTACATGTATACTTTCAATTTCAGTTTTACATTCAATTTGAATTTTGTGATTATGCAGTATAATAAATGATTATAGCACTTCATGCAATATGAATTTCAAATATCACTATTATGCTTGCAGATTCATCTCTTATTCTTAATTTATTCATGACATGTTACAGAAAATCTACATAATCACTCGATCTTCTATTAACAGCACGTACCTTAATTTACAGTCTGGTGCAGTGTAGTTTTTTTAGGGACACAATAAACAAGAGAAACTGCGAGAAAGGAAAGTTGAAGCATGTCCCACTACCAAAGGTTTAGAGGGGCTGTGACATAGTTCAAGCGGTTAGTCGCTGGTTTCCCACTGTGGTGACCCAGGTTCGATCCCAGGTCTGGTCAAGTGGGATTTGCAGTGGACAAAGTGGCGCTGGGGCAGGTTTTCTCCAAGTAAATCGGTTTCCCCTGCCAATCTTCACTCCACCAATTGCTCCACAATCACCTTCACCTATCATCTGGGGCTGGTACAATAGGCCAGAAGTGGCCGCAGGACAAGGGACTTAGTACCACACCACTAGCAGCAGTAAGGTTTAGAGGGCTCTCACATCAATTCATCTCATTCACGATCCCAAGAATAATTTAAAATTCAATTATTTTGCACATAAAACAATCACACTATGGAAACTCATATGCAAACTTATTTTGCTACTTACACAGGGTGTTAACAAAAGAGTCACAGGATTTAAGGTGGTAAAGTACTCGCTTAAAGGAGGAAAGTCCCAGTCAACACATGTCCAGAAATCAATGCCTCCTGAGATATGGGATAGTTTTTGTGAAGTTTGCATACTGAGAAGAGTTGAAGAACATCCCAGAACCAGTGTGTGAAGAACTGCAGCTGCTGAAAGCACTGGTGTTCCCCTTGTCTGGAGAATTCTCCATGAATAATCACTTTATCCATGCCATATATAGTGAGTGCAAGCTGTCACTCTTCCTGACCAACATGTAAGGATGGCGTTCAGCCAATGGCTTCTTGCAAAGTGTGTTGCAAACACATAGTTTGTAGCTAACATCCTGTTGATGGACATCAATTTTCCATCAATGTCTGGGTGGGCACCTTATCTAACAGACTACCATTCTTTGTGGTGAATGCTTACCAGTACTCTTGGAACATGTACCTCTTCATCAATGATAATACATGTAAGTCAAGCATGATGGGGTACCACCTCATTTTCTCTGCATTGTCAGGCAGCACCTGAACCAGACTTTGCAGAACAAGACACAGAGGCCCAGTCAGCTGGCTTGCATGTCTCCCTGACCTTAATCCTCTTGATTGATGGCTATGGGGACACCTAAAGACTTTGGTGTATTCAGCGCTGATCAATGACAAGAGGTATTACAGCAATGAGTTGAGAATGCCTGGCAGAAGATCTGATTGAAAGAAGGAATTCTTGATATTGCACACCTCAGTGCAATGAAGAGCTGAAAGCTATGTTGAAATATATGGGAACCACACAGAACATCTGCTGCAGAGCTCACATCAGGCAAAGATTTCTGGACTGGGAATTTCTGACTCATTTAATTGGGTACATATTCCCTTAAAGCTTGTAACACATGTATACATAACTTTGGTCACATCAATGAATTATTTTTCCTTCTGCAATTTTTCTTGACACAAGGGGAGAAGGGCAATTCTGAACGTATAACGTGTGATAAAGAAACAATGAAATTACTCAAGGTAAGCAAATTTCATTAAAATCCTTTCAATCAGAGCAGAGGTTTTCAAAAGGTTTAAAAATATTTCTACAAACATGAGCTTGCAATCAAACAAATTTACCAAAGCAATCAGTTTCAGTTTCTGTTACAACTCAGCTGATTTGGAAACAGAATTTCATTGGTTATAAAAGTGGCAGACCAGAAAAAATAAAAACCACTGAACTGAAGGATACCCATACAAATTCTAACCAGCAGGCACAGTGATTAATTAGCACAGTTACAGACTAGCCATCATTGTTATGTACCTAGATATTTTTTTGTTAATAGCAAGAATCTTGCGGGTCCAGGAGAAGAAGCAACCTCCTGCGTTCACCCATCCGTGAGACAACAGTGACAATTATTAAAGAGAAGAGGAGACAAAAACAGGAATTAATTTCACTAGGTTAAATGGTTCTTCAACAGAAAGTTACAAACAATGAATCATTCAGGGTACATCATCTACACTTACTGTGTACATATATACATGGTGTTTCATAACTTGGACACAATTTTTAACTAATTTCCTTTATATTAAAGCAAAGAAATATGAAGTGTCATACAAATTACCACATTATGGAAGCATACTTCCATTTAAAAAATATACAGGTACAAATGAAACTCTAACGATGCAGTAAAGAGTAATTTTCAAATAAATAACTGATGATGTGGATATAGTAACAGTATTTTTCTTCATCCAGTATACATACTGGCAAATAAGTTATGCGTATCAACAAACTTGTCAAATGTCAAGTCACACATATGCTGATGCACTGTACATGTCAATCTTCAGGTTAAAACTGAGCATGAGGGCACCACCAAACATGTTCTCAGAGAAATGCACTAGTAACAGTTGTGTATCTTTTAATGAAACTTCATAATATATTCTCCAACCATCTGCCACTCCTCCTTGAACATATAATGTCAAAACAGCGATGTAAGTGTAAAGTAAGCCACCTGGGACACTGTTACTAACTACTATTCTAATACTTACAGGTACGTTTTGATGAGAAACAAAAACCGATCACTAATGGGCAAAGTCAGGTGATTTCACTGTTATATATATTAACAGCAATGTCAATGGAAATCTACTGTCATGGCAATTTACACCATGTTTTCAATGATACTGAGCAACACAGCAATCTTTCTCTCGTTACACTGTTCAGTAGACTGCCTACTGTGACAAGTGATAGAAAATGCATTCAACAGTTTCAGTCTCAAAAGTTCTTGGTCATGGATTTGACAGTTTCAACTGCTGCTTATGTAGTCATATTCTCAATTATTAGCAGAAGACATACGTGGAGGAGAATGAGAATATGCATTAGAACATGTCCTGAGAAAGGTCATGCAGCAAATTTAACTTTCTTAAATGATAAGCAAATATTTGGTGGCATGCAGAAGCGCAGCTGATTGATGCATTATGGTACATGCCAAAACATAACGGGTTTAATTCCTGACAAGGTCCTTAGTCTTTTCAAATGACGTGATCCTTCCAGCAACAGTATGGCCTTAGGGTCGACTCAGACTCTAACAGAAATGAGTACCAGGAATCTTCCTGGAGGTAAAGGGAAGCCAGCCCATAAGGCTGACAAACTCACCGCTGTCTACGAGCTGACTGTCTAGAAAATGTGGGAGCCTTGACGTCTCACAACCCTATGGGCATCCATGGCCTATTATACGGATAGCTTTACCTTTTTTTTTTTACCTTAAGCAATTATTTGTTTCTGAACTTTATAAGAACATCATGTAGCAACTTTGAATAAAATTAGACAGACGGTTCAGAGAATGAATATTATCATGAGGAAAACAATTACCATATCTATCTAATTAGTAATTTTATAATGATTTTTGACTACTGGGGCTCCTATACAAGTTTTATGAGTTTCTGAGCCTGCTACGAGCCTCCTGATAACTGAAAATCTAAAAAAATTAATTTGAGGTATTCAAAGAATATATCACATCAAATAAAGTGTACACTGTTTTTTTACTTATTATTTAAGTAATTACATAAAGTTTAATTTGAATATTTACTGCGTCAGTTCCAATGTTCTTTCATCTGTGTTATATCTGGAGTCTGGATGTATTTGTAGGACGTGAGAAGACATGGGGGATTACAATGAGATGATGAACTTAAAGGTGAAAGTAAAGAAACATCAGACAGAGCTGGTCAAAGAAGGCCTGACAAATCATGAAGTGGAGGGAATATTTGCTAAGTCTTGTATCTCTGGTTTCTTAGGTGCATCCTGCCTTAATGTGAATTTCATGTGGACATGTGGAAACTATATGATTTCCATACTCACAGCTCAATTTCCATTTTTTTCTTCTAGTAAGTAATAATTTTATTCATTTTTAGCAAACATTCTCAGCCATTTAAACACACTTTAGGTAACTTCTGCCAAAACACTGAATTCACTTGCAATTTTAATCCATGTTTCCTTCAGATTATGATCTTCTGTGTTGTGACACCATGCAGTCTTGTAGATGGATATCAACATTTGAGAGGAAATATTATCCTCCAAAATGGTGCATCCACCTGAAAGTAAAGCTAATCCTGTAACCTGTAACAGGTCATGGAGCCCATAGTGCTGTGAGATGTCGAGGTTCCCACATAGTCTAGACAATCAATTCACAGATGGAAGTGGGGATGTCAGCCTAATGCAATGGCCACCCTTTATCCCCAGGAAGATCCCTGGTTAGAGGCTTAGTTGATCCCAGGGCCAGTGTGCCACTGAAAGGATTAGGTCAAATGAAAAATTCAATGACCTCACTGGGAATCAAACCCACAACCTTAGACTTCTAGCATAATACCTCAACCAACTATGCTACGGTGTGCCCCAGTGGTATCCACATACAATATTATATGCTGTCATAACACAGATGACCACAATATGAACACTCACTATCATTAAACATGAAAACCTACATTTCTGTCATGAATTTCAGAATTCTGCAGGACCTGAAGTTCTGGGTTTATGTAAACAGCAACATATACACCAACATATGAACATGACACTATAACTGTCACTATACTATGCAAGAAACTGTCATATGTTTTGACACCTCAAATATCATACAACTACTGGCAACTAGCACACTTCTCAAAACAGATGTCAGAAACACTGTTTTGTGTTCAGGAGCATATGGCAGCTGCCATATACTGCTCTATTTTGCTCATTCATTGTTGGACATAGTTGGCAACTGTGTTGCCACCATATATTGCACTAACAAAGAAACACTGTCTTGTTTTCAGGAGCATATGGCAACTGTCATATACTGTTAAACATTGCTCATTCACTGCTGGTCATAGTTGGCAACTGTGTTGCCACAATATATTGCACTAACAAAGCTGTTCTTTTAAAAGTACTTTAAGGCAATGTTCAATAAATGCGAAGCTAAAATATTTTTGACAGACAAAAAGAAGTGTCTTAGTTATACACTATCATATAACTAACTTCACGGCAAAGAGACTTTCTTGAGACACTAATAATCATGTACTGAATCATAAAATTGCCAGTGTCTTATAAAACCAAAAGCTCACAACTGACAAAAAAAGCCCACCACCAGTTCCTATTCTGAGCAAGCTTCAACCACTCCACACCATAGCACCCCACTTTTTTATATCAATTTTAAAAGTAACCTTATTAACATTATTAATCACATTACAATGATCAAAACACATACTACTAACAGACATATTAGTGCAGAGTGATGACCTTGCAAGTGAGTAATAAAGTCACAATTGAACAACACTGGCATACTTCATACAGAAGGCGTGTTGGTAAACTGAACACCTAACAACTAGCTCCTTCATGACGACATGCCCGCCCACATCCCTGAAAACCATAGAGTTTGTGACTTACAACAACATGGTTATCATTCCCAATCCTCCCTACTCACTGGACTTAGCCCCCTTTGATTTTGCTTTGTTCCCAAATTGAAAATGAAACTGAAGGGATGACATTTCAAAATAGTGTCTGACATCCAAAGGGAACCACAAGCGGTACTTGACAGCATTAGGGGAAATGACTTCCATGGTGCTTTTGAAGCGTGGGAAAAATATTCTCAAGAAGACTATTTTTAAGGAAATGGCAGCCAAAATTGAGTAAATTAAGCTAGCATTTCTTTTCTGACTTTTTTTTATCGCTAGTGGGGTGGGACTAAGTCCCTTGTACTGTGGCCACTTCTGGCCTATTGTACCAGCACCAGATGATAGGCGAGGGTGACTGTGGAGCAATTGGTGGAATGAAGATTGGCGGGGGAACCTGAAGTACTTGGAGAAAACCTGCCCCAGTGCCACTTTGTCCACCACAAATCCCACTTGACCAGACCCGGGATTGAACCTGGGCTGCCGCAGTGGGAAGCCAGTGACTAACCACTTGAGCTATGGCGCGGCCTTCTTTTCTGACTTAGTCCAGGAACTTTCTGACGGAACCTTGGTCTTCTATGTGCCCTCTTTACTTCAGATTTTGTGAGCAAAATTGTGTATGTACTTAAAATTATCAATATTTATACCAGTAATCTTTCACACCACTCTCCACTCCTCAACATCCATTAATTTTATTATTAATGACTGTACAGCGATCAACACTGGAGTGTCACTGGACATACCTACTTTTGACACTGCCCTGCTGCTTTCATAGTTCCACTCAATACAGTAACATAGTAATACAGCTTACTTCACGCAATGTTCTGATGTGTGTGTGTATGTGTGTATACATGAACACAGTCACCATACTAGCAAATATGTATCTTGCTCTCAACTTTAACAAACAAAGAGACAAAGGAATGTAAGCTAATGTATATGCTACTTAAAATTAACACAACATCTCGTTTGTGAGTCTCCAACCCCCTACATTACTCCTGACATTGTGTAGCATGTCTTTAAGAGTCCTTGGAAAATTTAGTGGCTAAAGAGTTGCAGAACATTTATATATGGTCAAGGTTTGAGTACAGGGATGAAGGGAACAATGAATTTGAACCATGAAACTTAAAACAAAATATCCCTCAAAAGAACAAAAACATAGAAGAAATGGATAAAAAATGTATTAAATTTTCAGGCACACCAAATCTAACACTGAAACCACTACTAATGTAGTAGGGCTTATTTCATGCAAACATCAACACTGCTCATGCAGCCAGTCTATTCCATTTGCTATGGAAACAATATTTAAGGAAACACATGTAGCATTTATTGAATCTGTTATTCAGTGATGATGGAATAATGACTATTATAATGCCTTTATTGACAAAAAAGGTACTATGGTGTACGATGAAAATTATTATTTATGACAATATAAATCCTCATTATAGCACTTTTGCTTTTCTTCATCCTTTATCTTCAGAGTTCCTATTTAAATTGTCAGTGTAATTCAGTCATAATAATTACACAACAAAATCCATATAATGTTAATAGACATTTTCTGCCAATACTCCAATGACATCTCTTCTGTAAAAATTTTAGCTAGTATTACTGTAGAATGCCCTAAGAAAACAAACAAATAATATAATGTAGGTCCTCTAAGTCAAAATACTGTATGTGATGCAATTTCCCCAGAGAAGATTAAGTGATTGTGAAGTATAACATATACCGATAATAAAGATACATTAAATGTAACTAGTTTCACTGAAAATTGGAAAATCTGAATTTTATGATTTATGGTGGGTTGTTCCACATTTCTCTTTAATTTCAATGAAATATCACTCAATGTGCTTCATATAAAGGAAGTTATAAAAAGGGAGTCTCATTTTGAAACATCTTGTATACATACGAATGGCAAAAATATTACACAGTCTAAAGGATATAAGAATATTACATGTTACATATGAACCATTGATTTCTATCATATTTATTTTATTCTTTTTAATCAGCATGACACAAATGTACAGCTTCTTAGCCCTGAATGGATGGCAGACTGCAGTCCTCCAAATAACATTGTAACATGTCTAACCACTGAAAAGTTATTAAGTGTGTCCAAATAACAGTAAGAGAGAATAATCAAAGGGTTCAGTTGCGGTCTTAATGCCAGGATACACATAATTTTGGATGAACAAAGATTATGCACGTAAAACAATCCATTATCTACAAACAGCAAACTCTTTCCATATTCATAGGTATCATTCTATATGCAGCGATTCAAAGTCCTATGACCAAACATTAAGAAGTTACTGGGGAGGTAACTTGCAGGAGGAAATGTTAAATAAGATTTTTGATTAATCAACCTTGTCAAGTCATGATGTTTCACCATACTTTCAGAAAACGCAATAAAATGTCCAGTCATGTATAGATTCAATTGTTTATATTTAACATCTCAATCTTTAAAAGTTATTAGCTCTTTTCAGTTTTAGTTTTAGATGACATTTACACAAATGTCTGACTGTGCAGTTCGAACACACACAAAGTGCAATGTATTCCTTCACAGTAACTGCTTAACATTACCTCCTCTAGTTCGCAAGTGCGTTTCACAGTACTGAATGGTGTATCCCACACAGATCAGTCATCTAGGTTGACTAAACAGTGTCTGTTGCATCTATGTGGGTATGACTGATCAGGGTGCCAAGATCTCATACTTTTGCGGAATAAACATTTTCTCTAATGCATCCCCATATGAGAAAGTGAGATCAGATTAGGGGACACAGAGGCAAGCTAACTGGACCACCATGGGTGATCCATGTGTCTGGAAAATGACTGTTATCTAATTACACCCTTGGAATGAAAGTGGGGAAGGACACTCTCAAGCTGAAATTACAAGTCCTCAGGAACATTAACTGGTTCAGACTCAAACAAAAGTGGAAGTGACCTTTCAAGGTAGTCAGAGAACTGGATTTAACCAAGACAATCTAATATCACATACGGTCCAATAGGCAGTCATCTATACTTCCAACCCAAATGCTGATGGTAAATCTTTGTTGAAATGGAAAGCTTCAAGCAGCATGAGAATTTCTTAAATCCCATTAATGTTGGTCATGGATATAGTTTACTTCTGATTCCGTATTTCAGCATCCCGTTGCAATTGTTCACCTTAACATCCATTATTTATCGTCTGTCACTATTTCAACACTTTTTATTCACTACTTAATTTTAATTTACACTTTGACACTACATGTTTTGGCCCCAAATGGCCATCTTCAGGTGTCTTAATATGCTACAAATATTTTACTGAATTATGTTAAAACTGCTACAATGTCTTAGTCTGTGTTAAAATCACACGCTGCAGTCCTCTTTTCAAGGTAAAACTAAATAAAATCCTTTAAAGTTTCTATTATAACCACATTATTTTGGTGCATATTATTTCACCTCACACAATAATAGAAACATTAAAGGATTTTATCTAGTTTTACCTTGAAAAGAGGACTACAGCGTGTGATTTTAACACACAACGGACGATAAATAGTTTACTTCATCCTTGTTAATGTTATCCCCATCAGCCCACAATATACAGCACGAAAAGATTTATCTCCAGTTTTGTGTAGAAACCACTGCCCAAACGGGAGGTGAATATTACTGTTTTGTTGCTGTAGCCATTGTGTTAGCTGTACATGAAAAGAAAACAACCGCCCTCTGACAGAAGCCTGCTTTCTACACAACCCAGTGAAACTTAGCTCATGGATTAACTTGCATAGCCTCTAATTCTTCTTTATTCTGCACTCTGTGTCTGCTGTGACCAAAGCATGCTGGTGGCATGAATTTCCCTCAGACTGGATGTACCATTAGAAACACACATCTGCTGGGCTGAATTTCAATCACAAAAGCCAAACCAAAATCAACTCTGCATTAGCAAATTATCCCATCTCAATTAACTCCTATCACTACTTTGCCATCAGAACTAGTGTGAGCTATAAGTAAATGAAGCACAAGCTCCATCTTGTGATGTTATGAAGGCTCCGCCACACGAAGACACAAAAAAAAAATCAATGCTAAAAGTTTGAAATATTGTAACTCTGAAACTGTGGTGAACTGGACAACTGTTTGTTTACATTTTCTGCCCAAAGCTGTCTCTTCAGCAACCTCAAATCACTGGCCATATGACTCTGAATCACCCAGTATCTATATATACATGAATGTTTAACTTTATTTGCAAGGGAGATCATTTACAATTAAGCAAGCATTTAGCCAAGAACATACCATATTAAATTTAAACTTGTGAAAACTGGCAATTTACTGTAAAAATACTAGTACCACTTTTCTTTTCTTTGCTCTGGAAACTGAGGGTAATTACATTACATTAAAAAACAATTAATTTCTGCAATATTCATTTATTCTCCTGGAAAGCTGAGAGAAACAGCTACAAATTTTGATACAGTTGCTGCCCTTAATTCAAGTGGCACAAGTTTCTTCAGTTTAATTTTAACCTATGCTTCACATGAAAGAAACAGAATTCCAAGAGAATTCCTATACTAAGACATTCCGACTAAGCAAGACAGACTCACCATCATCAGAGATGTCACTCTGTGGACGTTCACTGCCATATGCTTCCTGTAGCGAGTCAAGTGATCCACAACGTAATGATCCAGTTAATGGCGATGGTGGCTTTGATGACAACAATGGTGATGCCAACTCGAGCTGTAAGTAAAACAACTGCAATAAACTTGCAAATGGTATACAATGAAAACATTAGTGCTACTAAAGACTGATTCTCATGTGGTTCAAATTTCTACCACATACAACACACTTGAACAAAGTAAATTAAGTGTTCTCTGCAGTGAATAACATATTAAACTTTAATGAATAAAGAACATTTACATTAACTAGTTGAAGGGTTATGATTCATTGAAACTGGATGGTGTATCAAAGAGTTTAACAAATAAATTCCACTACTGTGAATGAAATTTTGATCATAATATGTTTAAAAAGCTTTACAACCATTGTTCATTCTGTTTTGTATCAGTCATAATAAACTAACTAGGCTTATTATCAGGAAGACAGGAAGGTAATGATGTTGATGATCAGATGGTAATAATGAAAAACCTTCATCCATTGCATCACAGCTCTGCTGTAAGTTCACACCGACTTTAAGCAGCAGACAGATGAATGTGATTTGAAGTTCTCAGAGTGATGAGAATTTAGAATGTGCATCTTCTGGGTTATGGTATCACATAATCTCACAAGTGATTACCAAGTTTCGGAGGACCTTGCTGTCTCTGTCATGGAGGCAGCATCTTCCCTTGAAAAGCTGGTAACCACCCATGAGACACTGGCATCCATTGCAGATCATAAACCACAAGACCATGACCTAAGCAGGCAGTTAAATTTCTCCTATAGTGATTAATTACCTAAATGACAGACCATGAACTAAATTAAGCAAACAATTTATATCTACAGAAATACACCAATCATATTAAATTTCACACTGTAATACCTATGAAAACAAATAAGAGAAAGGACTGGTCCCATTCAGTAACCCTATAGAGAACTGTTCCTTAAATTTATTTAGCCAGCCATCAGAACATATCTCAAAGATTTCTAAGTTCATATGGAGGCCACGCCATAGCTCAAGTGGTTAATCTCTGGCTTCCCACCATGGCGGCCCGGGTTCGATTCCGGGTTTGGTCAAGTGAGACTTGTGGTGGACAAAGTGGTGCTGGGGCAGGTTTTCCCCGAGTACTTTGGTTTCCCCTGCCAATCTTCATTCCACCAATTGCTCCACAATCACCCTCACCTAACATCTGGGGCTGGTACAATAGGACAGAAGTGGCTGCAGGACAAGGGACTTAGTCCCACCTCACTAGCAATAAAAAAAAAGTTCATGTGGAAGCTGAGTTCATAAGGAAGAAAGGAGAAGAGAAAGAGAGAGAGAGAAAAAAATCTTCCATCACCTCATGTCCTAAACATGGGATAAATGGATGATGTGGTCTTTCAAATGTTTTTATTCATCACTTTTTTTTTTTTTTTGCTAATCACACAAACACAACCTACTGGTTAGTCTTCCATTCCTTTGTTCATATAGGATTGTTTCACCTAACACACATTGCCTAATGCAAGTACTATATAACGACTATCAAACTCATCCCAAAGTAATTAACCCTGAAGATGGTAACCACAAGGTTTGCCAAAATACTGATAACCATCAACGTTTAATATGGCCTGGTACCAAAAGCTGAAGCCACACATTTAGCTCCAGCTGCAAGAGTCTAAGGATTAGAAGGGGAAGAAAGTAACATATTGTAAAAATTGACAAATGGATAATGTGATCAAGGGCATTCACAGTCTTTAGGAGAGAGTGTAATTTCCAATTTTTGTCTCCATGATAATGAAGGTGTTAGTATGAAATTAACATTGCACTGAATAACCCTTGGTATGCAAGCATCTCACTGCATCTTAAACTTCTTAGCAGCAAACTTTCACTAGTCCTTCTTATATCAATGAAATAATAACTGGCAACAATGAGAACTGCATATTAACTGTACTCCTCATAAGCCCGTAAGGAATGATAATTCATACAAGAAAGACCTCAGGTTCTAACAACATTGATGATGAATTCTGTCTTCTTGGATATGGACTATACAGCGCTATATTCCACATGATTAGCAGGATTTGAGGTTCTCAAAACAGTGGCTATAATGAGTTCCACCTTTTGCGATATGGACTACACAGTGTTATGTTCCATGTGATATAATTCCCTTAACTCATACAAGTTTAAAACATAACATATGACTATTACGTTTCTGGACATTATCCATCATCCTGTTTTTATCTAAAACATCATCCTTTTTGTATTTTAAAATGCAACGTTTCAGAGACTGGATTCTGTCTCCATCTTCAGGTAAAACCTACTCAGTTGGAGCCAATCAACAGGGCTAGTCCCTGTCTCCAAACCAGCTCCACTGATAGGGCCCAAAGGAATATGTTTTACCTGAAGACAAAGACAGAATCCAGTAACCAAAACGTTGCGCTTTGAAATATAAACAGGATGCTGTTTTAGATAAAAAAAAGGGACAGTGCATAATGTCTAGAAACATAATATTTGTAGTAATGCACTATCAGGGGGGGACGTGGTAGCGTAGTTGGTCGAGGTACTATGCTATAAGCTGGAAGGTTGCAGGTTTCAGTCCCGATGAGGCAGATTTCTTTCAATTTACCTAATCCTTCCAGCCGCACTATGGCCCTGGGGTAGACTCAACCTCTAACAGAAATGAGTACCAGGAAACTTCCTGGGGGGGGGTAAAGGGCAGCTGGTGCATAAGGCTGACAACTTCACCGCCATCTGTGAGCTAACCGTCTAGAAGATGTGGGAGCCTCGAATTCTCACACCCCTATTGGCCTTCATGGCCTGTTACTGGGACAGCTTTTACTAATGTACCATCATCACAAACATCTTATTTACAACATATGAAGCTGAAGTATGAACTGACCTGCTCCTTCCCAGTTTTGAGCTTCTTGAGGGTTCCATTTGGTGGAGGTGCTCCTTTCTGTGTTTCAAGCCTGCAGGTTGCATGCTGCTGGACAGAAGCATGAAGATTCTCTGCAGAGTTGCCACGCCGAAGCATACGCTGTGAAGATGCTGAAGACTGAGGTAATGTGACAGCAACAGTGGACTGCGTTAATGAACCTCCACTGCCAAGCGCAGTACTGGAACTTTCTGCATTTGACCTTCCAGGAAGCAATGATGCACTTGAAAAAGAAAAGGAAGTAACATCTTATTATTACTATTCCTACTTCATCGTCATTGTCACCATCATCTAAAGAAAAAGTCAAGGGAAAAATACAAGAAACCCCCAAATAAGTTCAATTTAATACAGTAAAAGTGATAGTAAGTACAAAGACAACAAACTGCCATGATGAGATATGAACATGTTAAGTACTTGTATACAGATAACGAACTACCACAATCAAAGACAAACATGTTAACACATTGAGGACCGGAGGGGCCATATGGCCCTCTACGTTTCCAAGCTTTGCGGACCGGGCGGGCCATATGGCCCTCTACGATCACGTTATGTTGCAAAACGCTATATATCGCTGTGTGGCTCCGTTGAATCTTAACTACTGCGTAGATGACCTTGCGAATGATTGCTGCCTTATCTAGTAACTCGACCAGAGTCATTTCCTGTCACAACCTAAACAAAATTGGCTTTGTTCTAATCCAAGCTTGCACGTATCAACCACGCAGCTACCAGTTCAACATGGCTCAGAGATGAAAGCATTTGCGATCTCTCGGAGGACAGGAAATATTAGATATGTTCTCCGATGAGCTATCAGATTTGCCAACTGCTTCATCTTCTGATAGCAAGGCCATTATCAGTGACAGTGACAGTGACGGAGGCCACAGGGCTGCCCAAAATGTGTCAAGTGAAAGTGAGAGCTCCGTTGAAAGTGCGAGTGTCGGGACAGCAATACATACTTTCGAGGAAAGTATGTATTTGTGGTACAATTAGGGTGAACAGAGGCCTCCCTCCAGATCTGAAAGAGGAATGTAAACGCCTGAAACATGGTGACACCGCATTCAGGAGGACATTCTTCTTCAGTCCTGGAGGGATACTCGCGTTGTGAATATGGTTTCCACTATTCACAATTCGAGCATGGTCGATGTTCAAAGACGACACGGCCAAGTAAAGAAGCCTCTTTTTATTTCCGAGTATAATATGTTCATGAAAGGAGTTGATAGGGCCGACCAGTTCTTGGCCTATTATTCCTTACCTAGGAAAACAGTAAAATGGACGAAGAAAGTCGCACTGTGGCTTATAAACTGTGCAATTTTCAATTCATTTACGGTTTACAAAAAGGTGAACAGAAATTCTACTTTGAAATACAAAGCATTTCTGTTGAAACCGGCAAAAGCTTGGGCTACTGACGTCACGGTGGCGGCAGTACCTGCATCAGACACAGACGTAGTGCAGCTGGGGCCATCTGTTCACACCCACCAGAGGCCTCAAGTAGACCCCCCTGGCCGACTCTCGGGTGATATGCGGAAACATATTCTCGTGAAAATTGTGAAGAGTGAATATTGCAAGAAGAAACACCCTTTTAGGCAGTGCCGTGTGTGCGCAGAGCACAAAAAGAAGAGTAGAACTGCCTACATGTGCAACTTCTGCGTAATGCCTCTTCACAAAGGGAATGTTTCCAGAGATATCACATGCGCAAGCACTTCTAGGAGCTCTGGTAAGTGTTCTCAAAAAATTTCAGTTCATAAAATTAAATAGGAGATTTTATATTAATTTTTAAAGTGAACAGTGCACAAGTTAGGGTAGTAGGATTAAAAACGCCGGTCCCCAGGGTGATTTAAATGTTTAAACCACTGGTCCGCAATGTGTTAAGTTACATGTACATTCATTAAAATGCTTCATTTGATCCCCTACATGAATAAAGACCTCACTGATGTTCCTTTTCATTTCTCCCTGTTATGACAAATATCCAAGCTTCTACAGAGTGAGAACAATAGTGTCACATTAGTGGCTAGACATAGGATGGGACTGGATTGGATACTACATTTATTGAATGATTACTACTTCCTGCTACATACAGGCATAGTAACAGCACTTTCCACTATGCCTTCATGCACTCATCTGTTCATTCCAAGGCCATCTGGATGTTTGGAAATGGGCCCCTCTTTCATGAGAGCAGTAGGCACCACATTTGTTGCACCATGTTCAGATCCAGTTTGCACTCTCATACAGCATCCATGTATTGTATTTTACATACAACACAGCATTTTTTTCACTTTACTATAATGAATAATACTGTATTACTTTGAATATAAGACACTCTCAAATTTAAGATGCATCCAGTTTTGTAAAGTGGGTTTTAGGGAAAAAATTATAAAAAGTACATATTTCCTGTATTTACAACGCACTTCAATTTTTCAATGCAGAAAAAAATGTGTAAAATGTGAGTCTTATATTCAAAGTAATATAGCATTATATATGATTTACAGTTGACCCCTGCCAATGCAGGCTTGTGCATCAGGTTGTGTCTTCACTCCTTTATCCACTTTGAGACGGCAGTTAGACACCTGAATGGTCATAGATGTGACAAATGTCTAGTTCAATATATATGTATGGCTTCTCCTTGTCCAACTGCACATACCTGTTGTATGGTTGGGTTGGGTAAACTGCCACTGGCCCTTGCTAGCACAGTCGTTCTTGATTCTGAGTTCCACAGGACCCGTGACTATATTTTACTACCTTATGAATCTGGGAGTCATGCAACTCTCTCTCTTGTCCTGGCTGCTAAATTACTGCTGGCCTTCACCAGCATAATGATTCTTGGTTCTGAGTCCCACAGGAATCATGACTGAATTAACTGTCTGATGGCTCTGAGAACCTTCAGACCACTCCTCACTGACCCTTGTCTTGTGCGTCTGGTAAACTGCTGTTGCTCCTCAAGGGAAGTAATTCTTGGTTCCCAGTCCAGCGAGACTCATGACCATATATTACTGCCCGACTTCAGGAGTTGTGCAATTCTCTCAGACTCTTATCCAGACTACCTGCTACTTTGCTGCTAGCCCTTGCCAGTACAGTGATTCTTGGTTCTAAGTCCCACAGGGCTCATGACCCTACTTTACTGTCTAACTTCTCCGGAAACCTTCAGAAAAATTCCTGTTTTTCCCATTGTTCCTCCATATGTAACTCAGCGTGGAATTTATAGAAAACACCACTTCCAACAGCTCCTTTTGTTGTTGTGCACATATTTGTTTCCATGGGAACATGTTTACCAACCCACTGCCTAGCAATGGACGTCTTCTCTGACCTCAAAATTCTGACTTTCAGGAGACATGTCACAATAGTAATTCTGATTTTTTCATACAGTTGATCACTTTTCTTCCAAGTAGAGCCCCAAGCCCAATTACAGGTATCTTCAAGCCATATTTCATGCTGGTAAAAGTGGCAATGGAGCAGATGTTTCTTCAAGTTTCTTCCATTTCTCCTACTAATGATAATTTCACCACTGTTCCACACTCATCTACCATCTATCAATGCCTGCTGAGGTGTGCAACGACCTTAACCAAGTAGCACATTATCACATCTTTAGTCTTCAAGTATGGACCTTCCTCTCTGATCCAGCTTATGGCTAGTTACGAGTATCAAAGTTAATGTACGTGGCAGATACATCCAGCCTTTGTGGGGGCCTGAGCCATTTTCACATATTCATGCATACAGCAGCACACAACAAATGACTTCAAAGTTGTATGTTAATGAAAGAAATTCTATTTAGATATCATGTCATGATTATGATTCAACAAAATGAATGAATAATAAGAGAAAAGACTTTAATATAATGATAATGCACCTCACAAAGGACAGTAATTTTTGTCATTTTGTCATGACTGCAGTACTTTCTGTACGTAAATACATTCACCATACTCAACATCAAACTACATGTTGGACAGACCTTATATAAGATATGAAGTTTATCCACCATTTTGCTGGTACTATGTCAAACAACTTGGAAGATCTCCAAACTGCCATATTGCCACATGTGTCTGTCACACATCCCATTTCACCACAACAATAAAAACATCAAACAAAACTATAATAGCAATGCTCAAATCTGCTGAATAATTTTTTGGTATAAATTCATTGGCAGTAGCTTTATAATAATGTTCTACAAATATTATAAAACCATAGCTTCCAGACAGATGAGACTGCACTATGGCCTCGTAACTTAGTTAAATGCTTCAATTATGATCACGTTTGGAGACCAAATTCAGAACTGAATACATTACCAGGTAACTCACTCTATTTGATCTCTTACAAATTTAAACTGACTTGAAATTGCACTGAGGTTTCAGAGCAACTGAAAATGCAAACAGTACCCAGATTTCCAGTAATACTCATGCACTGTTTCCTTCATGGTTCCAATTTAATATCAAATGCTTACCTTGATCTCACTGCTACTACATCAGTTGAAGAAGAAGAACCGTCAGCATTGCAATTTCTGTCTCCTCCCAAATTCTTTGGGCTGTCAGGAAAGATGTGAGTTGTCCCTACTTTCTTTGTCCGAGTGAATTTTTGTAAAGCAGAAGCCTTGTCTTTGTGGACAGGATTCTGTGTGGATCCTACGCTCGTCTGACTGTTTCCTTGGTCAGCTGATGAAATCACAGAATTTGACCGAGACATGAGAAAGGGTGAAGAAGGGAATTCAGATTTCATAGATGTGAGATTATTACTAGGTGCAGAAGATGGGAGGAGAGGTGAAGACGAGAGCCTGCATCCAGTACTAGAGGCATATTTTGAGCTGTCACCAACTGCACACTTCTTGTCACGTTCCAGAACATTGGTCATGTTGGTCATCTTCTTTGTAATATCTGTTTAGGAAACAAAAACAAAATCAACACTAATGAACTGATTTTAATGAATGTTCTTGCTTGATGAAAGCACTAACTGGAAGTAAAACAGTATTTACCTGAAAGAAAACATAGTCTTTTGTAAAAACTCAACGCCCATGCCTGCCACATCATACCTGATGGGTTGTCAGCAATTTCATCCAGCAAGTCCTCACTTTCCATGTCGTGTTTTGCCTGCCGCAGTTCCATCTCAATTCTCCTCTTCTCTGCTTCTCTCCATTCAGCGTCACGACGTCGTGGAAGATCACGCTGTAGCATTGCCTTTGTCTCACGTTCAAACCTGATACATTAAAAAGCCTTGCAACTCAGGTACATCTGCCTGGAATGTCTCAAACAAACTGCATTGCTTTTATCAATGGTAGTCACCTACAACCATTTGATTCTTATAAAACTAACACACAATGACTGACTGTACGCCCAAAAGAAAGAACAAGCTGAATTTCAATAACATTAAAATCCCTATTTGTACACAAATATAAGCTGCTGAAGGCTATAATGAGAAGAAACTCAATATACAGTTGAAAAGGAAGTCAACAACACTGGTGCAACAGACATTTATAAGTAAGCAAGCAGAGACGCAAGCAATTCCGACATTAATATCATAATTCCATCCACATGCTTGAATGAAGACATCACAACATAACACACCTGCGTATACGCTCCTGAGTTGTAGCCGAAAGGCCTGCGTATGTCCTTATTGTCACTTCATCATTCCCAACTATGACACCATCTTGTCTGAAAGGCTGCTGCTGTTCTTCATTCTTGCGTGAACTTTCCAACCTACAGGATCTACTGTCTGCTCGCAATTCTCTACCAGCAGACTCTTCTTCAAGGAGAGGACACAGTTGTTTCAGTACATTAACACATATAATAGGTCTCAAAAGCAAAGTAATACATTAAATAACAACAAGAAGGCAGAATTTTAGTTCATATATGGAAACAGAGATGCATAAGACCGTGAAACTGACACAGCAACATATCTGCTTTGCAATGTGGGTCCTTCCACAGTATTAAAATTCCAGGGAAACAGACAGTATGAAGATGCAAGTGGGATAACCCCACTCTCCTGATTTAACATCACCTGACTTGCTTAAACGTCTTGTTACACTGGTTCTCTTGTAAACAAACACTTATAATGGCAAAAACGACATCAACAACAAATGAAGTTATGAAAATCCTTAAAACCACTACATGTTATATTCCGTTTATATTTGTAATTAAAAACAACAAGACAGCATTAGCTGGGATGATTTCTGATCAATTATGATTTCCATATATTCTGTTAAAATGATAAATTTAATTTTCAATATACTTTCCTTGAAACTTGCACAATTTATTCATTGCTCACAGAAGTACATAAAATTTATGAGTACATTCTCAATACATGCTCTTTCTTGTAAGGACATTTAAACATTCATACCACTCACTGTGCAGTTTACAAAGATGCACAAACAGAACTCACCCTGAGTTGAAGAACGATCTGGGAGTTCACTTGACACTGCTACATCATCTTCCTCTCCTGTATGAATACTTTTGACTATGTTCCCTGAGAAAACAACTGATTCAAAGATGGATGATGCCACAGTTGATGCTGATGGATCGTTATTTTCAACTGCTGACACACACTCTTTGTGCTTTGTTACCTTACTTTCCGAGGTTTGCTGTGAACAGTGATTAAATGGCACCGTTATGAACAACATTGGTCAGGAACGATTGTCTCAGAAAAGAAACGTAAACAGCGTGTAAGTACATCAATAAACTGCACATCAGCACTGCATTAACTCTTACAAAATCAGATTCATACAAATCTACTAGAATATATCAGAAATAATACAAACAAACATATTTCATACAGAAATCATAAATGCATAATAACAAAATATTTTCTGATACTCTCCAGCCAGTGTCATTGTATGGAATGGTAGGAGTTCAGTTCAAACTGGTTTAGTAAGACAAATGCTCAAATGTTGCTGTTCCCCCAAAACCTTCTTTGGCATTCTTCATGAACCTAACTGTGTTTACAAATTCACAAAGTTCATGCAAATCAAACCGTATTCCACTTGTTACCTCCTTATTGGGTCAAATGCCTCAACTGCTATGTTAGCTTCTCGAACAAGGAAATGAGAGGCTCTTCTTACTTTATCACATCTGAACAATGGCAACACTGAACTAACCTTATGCCTATTTTTGCCTACTTCATACATTTCATAGTGGAAATATTGCTAATATTGCCGTGTCCATGCACACATTATAAGTTCAAGCACCAATATTAATGTTCTATACTGGATTCTGATTTTGTATGGTGAAAAATCTCCAAAAATAAAGCAGTAACCACATGACCTACATATATTTTAATTTCTTGGCGTGGTTACTGATGAACCAATGTAGCTCAGTAGATGTTTACTAGGGAAATATGTCACAAATATATCTGCAAGCATTCTACTCCGATCTCTGGCTAGGGATGGGGCATTTCTCTTGGCCATCACATAAAAACCGTCTCTAGGTTCCACTTCATACTGAATGGAAACCAAGGGATCTAATATTAACCTTTTCAATGAAACATTATTTGTGATGAAAATTATGATTACAAAACTATAAAGAGATACTTGATAAATATTAGGGAACAGAACCCTAGAAAGATGACATTTTGCACAAATCTAGGTAACCCAGTAACATACTGATATGTTGGGTTTTTGGACTTTATCCATCGTCCTGGTTTTTAAGATTTTTATTTGTTATCTTAAAAACCAGGATGATGGATAAAGTCCAAAAACCCAACATATCAGTGTGTTATACACCATCGTCAGAATCCTATAGTAACAACCCAGTAACATAATTATCAATTTTTAAGTCTACTGCACAGTCACATGTTAGTAAAAGAGAAATGGTATGCAAACTGAAAATAATACATAGAGAAGTGACTGTAGCCTGTTATTTTTCAGGAATTTGTAAAAGATTTAGTACAGCCAATTTCCTGTGGAACTGGTAATGTTCAGAATATTAAGTATGAGTGGAAAGTTAACATCTGGTGCTAACACACTATGATTAAATGTTTAAAAAAAGCTGCATTCAGGATAATCAAACATACCTCTATAAGATAAGAAATTATGTCAACACTGACTTAACTTTGTACTTTGGGAAGGAAGATTTTCATGAGAGAAAAATATAAAAATTATATCAGACAAATGGGAGAAACTCTTACTACAGCAAAAGCATACAGGTGGTAAATGGGTGGAAGTTAACACTAAATATTACAACCACACACCAACTTTCTTAATCCTTATGGTCCAATTATCTACAGCCCATCATTCTGGTAAGTACTTTTCCCTAGCCGCATGATCAGACTGTTACAACAATTTAAATACACACAAAACTAAAAAATTTGGAAACTCAAAAACTGGCATATTCATCAGCACATTCAGTGACCATGAAATATGAATTTGCTGTCATTCACCTGTTTAGAGTCCATGTTTTCCTTGCCTTCTCCAGACGTTTCTTTGCTATCCTCTATCATCGCTCCACCTCCACTGCCACCTTTCCTCGATTTGGCCTTTTGCATTTTCCGGTTTGCTGCAGAAATGATGGATGAAACAATATCTTTGGCACTTATGTCCTTGTTTGGGGAATCTGCTTTCATGCCTGTATCATATAGAGAGAAACAAAAACAACGGGAGAAATAAAGATAGTCATGCATAAGCAACAGCACATTCCTCATCAAAATCATTACAAACTTCTGGTATTATGGACGAACTGAGGAGTAATATTTGGAAAACATACAAATGTTTAAAAATGACATAACAGGGATACATGCAAGATTAACAACTAAACCATGCTCAGTGTTATCACAACATATTCCACTGAACAAGAGGGAAATTAAATAAACACATGCTTTTTCCTCACACAGAAACTAAGACATTTTTTAATGTATAAGAAACAATTTAACCAAATGATTATAGAATATTACCAGGTATTCTGTTCTGAATGTAACATCAGAAAGCATGCCATAAACTTTAAAAAAACAGCATAATCATCATACATCAAACATGAAAGTAAGAGGATAAAAAAAAGACAAGAAAAATTATAACAGAGAATAATTATACAGTTCAGAATCAAATTATGGGACACGAATTGTATCTGTGCTAATTATTCTGTTTGGTACTAAGTGTTGAAATGTATGTACTTTCAGAAAAGTAACTCAAGCAAACAATGATACTTGTTTGGATTATCCTTTGAAACAATGGTGAACTTCTGCCAGACCAGACTACACAGTGCACATCTCAGAAAACAGTACTCTTCTGAGCAATACTGGCTTGTATATATTATGGAATTACATAAGATACTCGTATCTCCTTACTGGCCTTAATTAGGTACGCTCATTTTCACTCACCTTCAACTTTCTGAATGTTGCTCAGAAGAAGGTTGTGGTTTGCAGCTGCAGGTTCTAGTTCAGCTGAATCCAGGGGCAAACTGAATGGGAAATTGCTGAAATCATCAGACTCATCATCTGAGATGAACCAGTCAACCTGTAAGTATAACAAGTCTTATGATTCAAATGGTAAAATTATGTTACAAACAATTTCATAGAAAATACTGCATGGTACTTGTACATAATGCAGAACTATAGACAACTGCTTTAATGAAATCTGTGGTTATTCCACTAAATTTAAAACCACATTTCTGACTTCTGCTCTGTTTGGTTAAGAACAGTACACATGTGTGATTTATAATAGTAGATACCTCCGAACAATTTCTTGTAAGGCAAACATTTGGGCTGCGCCATAGCTCAAGCAGTTAGTCGTTGGCTTCCCACTGTGGCAGCCCGGGTTCGATCCCGGGTCTGGTCAAGTGGGATTTGTGGTGGACAAAGTGGCGCTGGGGCAGGTTTCAAGTACTTCAGTTTCCCCTGCCAATCTTCATTCTGCCAATTGCTCCTCAATCACCCTCACCTATCATCTGGGGCTGGTACAATAGGCCAGAAGTGGCCGCAGTACAAGGGACTTAGTCCCACCCCACTAGCAATAAGGAGAAAGAAGAAAGGCAAATACTCGTATTTACGAGGCGGATTTCTAGTATTTAAGAAGAACTGGGAACCACTTGTTGTCTACTTTCTTTCAAATTCTTCTATCTACCTTAACAAGAAACTATATTAATAATTGAAGAAAGCAGTCTTCTGGGATTTGGCACCGTGTATATGTGGTGTTAATCGACGTTTCGGAGGAACGTATCGCCTCCATCTTCAGGGTAGAAGGAAAAATATATAAGAAATCCGCAGGCGAAGAGACCGTGAGAACCGGTACAAGCAGACTGCTGTTGGAAATATACACAGCTATGTGAGAACAGTGAAGGAAGGGGGGGAAGGGCAAGTTTACATGTGAAATCAGTGTGGGGGGGGGGACACACATAGATGTGATATATCATAAGCCTATTTTTTCTTATAAAATAAGGAACACAAACTTAAAATGGAGGACTGAGGGTGACAAACTCACATGAGAGATAAGTGATTCAACAATCCGGCACTGATGTGACATGTCGGTAACCAATGTGACCATATTGTTATCTGCTGTGCGCACCAAAGTTGGGCCAAATACGATGGCAAGGTTGCGTGCCTCCATCTTGTTTGTTGTACTGTGTTCCACCACCTTCTTGAGATGAAGGAGAAGGAACTTCAACGTCTCAAAATGATGGTCTGGAAGGTCATGTAACTGAGACAAAAGAACAAAGGAAACTTCATAAACTCCTGTCAAATTCTTTATATGAGATGGGGATGGAAGCCAATCAATGATCTGCAATGAAGATTATTTTTTAAAATATACTGAATTTGAAAATCGAGCTGTATGGTTGATATGTCCTCTGCTCAAATGTGTTTAATATACTAATATTTTGGCTTTTGTTCAATGCTGTAATAATAAAGTAATGCCAGGAAACGTTTGGTACTTCATAAACAATTCTGCATTCATTCAGGGAACATATTTAAAAGTCATACTGATTACACAATTTGCCAAATTTCTGTATCCTTTCTTCATTGCATTGCATGGCAGTAACAAAACACTGCAGAAAATATGTGGTGCTTCATACACAATTTCGTATTTTTCTGGGAAACATTTTTACAAGTCAGGTTACACAAATTTTTCAAAATTTCCATATATGATAAATGTCTGGTTATCCAGTATCTGAGCTTTCTTCATTCTCATGTAACTGGCATTTTATAAAGTTACTTCAAAAACAAAGTTGCAATGGGCATATGTTTACCAGCCACACGGTAGTTCTCTCAGCCACTATGAGCTATGCTGCCCATTGTTCTCCCTCACAGAGGTTTATTACAGTGGCATTGATCATGATTACAGTAAAGGCTACTTCAATTTATGACTGTGTTATGGCATATCTGAAATCTTTCACCTGTCAATATGCTGCCAACTAAGAACACTCCCATCCGTTGTTTTAATTTTTAAACAGAAAATGAAAATACATAAATACTGAAAACAAAAAGTGAAAGCCATGAGAAAATGTATTTCTGGATGTTTTCCTTGTGCATCTGGCAGATTCGGGTAACCAGCACACTTGGCATCCTATACATGTCTGGTAATTGCAAGTGTACTGTAGTTCCTGTTTTTACTAGATAGGACAGTTTAATGTAGTTAGTTAGTTATTTAGAGAGGGTGGGTTTCCCCATGCACCGCGACCAGTTTGATCTATTGTGCTTCCCTCTATGATATTCTACCAGTCTCTTTACCCTACCGATAAATGGTGCGTACCATCAGTCCCGCCGAGCAAGCGAGTTCGGCAACTTGCTTAGCGGTGTCTACAATGCTTCCCCCATCTATCGGAGGCCTTAGAGGATATTGTTGGGCGGGAAACATCCTGGAATTTGGCTCAGTGATCCCCTTTTGGGATGAGGTTCTTTTACGTGCCGTAAAGTTACGACACGGGACACACAGCTTAAAGTCCCTCCCGGAGGACTTGTTCCCTGAATTTTTCCGCCCTTAAAAATTCGATGACCTCCGCCGGGTATTTGAACCCGCGTACCACGAGTCATGAGGTGGGAACGTTACCTCTAGACTACGGAGGGCGCTCAGTTCAACGTAGATTAAGCTCAACACCTCCTATCTAATTACATTTCATAGTATCACCTCACTGGACTTTTTGGTCTGATAGCTACAAGCTCATAAGCATTATACGCTGCCAACAATTCAAGAATATGACGATCTCTTACCAGCTTTTTGATAGTGATTACTCTCTTGCCAGGATCCTCAATCTTGTCAGCTTCAATGAAAAGTGGATACAGCTCGCTAGTTAGAAGTGCATCTGGCAGTTTCCTGAAGAACAACTTCAGCAGGCTGGAGATTACGTTGACATCATTCCAACGTGGATCCTGAACACATTTTTCATTATAACGTGTATGCTTCGAATATAAAAGTATGAGCAAAAACACAATCAAACCTGGTGAAACAAAGAGGTCTTCGTGATTAGGCACTATGCCACCAGTGGATATGGTAGTAAGATATGACATGTTCTTAATCCTGCTCTAGATGGAGGTGAGCAAAAACAGCCCACAGAACCAGATATTTCTATCCTTCATTCTGAACATATCTGGCTTCCAATTTCCTGAAATATTCAATTCTGAAAGTAAAGTAGAATAGAGTAGTTCTTTGACTGGGATATACTGAAGGATGTACAACATCCCATAATTAAAGTGCATAAAACTGGTTACATGTCATATCACATTTGTTTAATGTTCTTTTGATGTTATGCGCTATGAGAGTACTTTAAAATCCAAATTCCTCTCTCATATGAGAACTGAAAACAGATCATAATAATCCAGCTCAACAATTACAGTATATTATCAATTATCCGTGCATGGTTTGTGACTTATCCACACTCCATTTTACATATGTCCACAGTCCTGCACAGAATCCTATTTAGTACGCTCGCCTGGCCATCTACACACAAGAAACAACTTGAAAATGGCTGGAGGGAGATTTAGCTAGTAAACAAATAACTGTGCTGGAACACCTTCCATATTCACTGGATCTAGCCCAATGACTTTTTTTCTGTTCCCAAAGATAAAGTAAATATTGAAAGGAAGGCATTTTGATGACACTGATGACATCAGGAATAATACAATGGCAGCTCTGAAGGCCATTCCACAAAACCAGTTCCAAATTGTTTTGATGGGTGGACTAGGTGCTGGCATCTGCCTCGCCATAGCTCAAGCAATTAGTTGTTGGCTTCCCATTGTGGCGGCCCGGGTTTGATCCCGGGTCTGGTCAAGTGGGATTTGTGGGGACAAAATGGCTGGGGCAGGTCTTCTCCGAGTACTTCGGTTTCCCCTGCCAATCTTCATTCCACCAATTGCTCCACAATCACCCTCACCTATCATCTGGGGCTGGTACAATAGGCCAGAAGTGGCCGCAGTACAAGGGACTTAGTCCCACCCCATAAAAAGAAAAAAAAAAGTGCTGGCATCAGTGCATAGCTTCCTAAGGCGAGTACTTTGAAGGTGAGGACAGTGATATTCAGCAATGAGTTATATAGCACTTTTACTGCAATTAGTTTGCAAACTTTATTGTCAGACCACATATAACATTTGCATACTGTGATGGCAATGAGTAGGAGAAAGAGGTCACAAAACAAATACCTGAAGACTGATGTTGTCAAATCCTTTTCTGAGACCCTCAGAGAGTGAGGTCACAGCAGCTGTGTTCCCTGGTACACGATATATGCCAATTATGTCCAGTCCTCGCATCTCCACAATGTGTGTACACAGCTCCACCAGCAACGGGACAAACTCTGAGAATGATGACTGCAAAATACATGGTACACTTCATTAAGATTAAATTATTTACTCAAAACCACTACCTAACCATTACCTTAGAAAATAAGGCCACGAACAAAAATGCATTTAACACTTTCCTTTTGTTAAAAGTGACAACTCTAATCTGATTAGTTGTCTGAGCTAGAACTTATTTTTAAAAGCATCCACAATGTATTTAAGTTTTAAAATGTTTTTTACTTCCGCTCAATATCACAGCAACAAGTTACTTCTTACTGCTAGGACTTGTAACTGCAAATTCACCCAGCATGATGTAATGTAATGTAATGTATGTAAGGGGTGGGCCATAGAAACCGGGCACCGCACTGTGACCTTCAAAGATCTATCGTGCTTCCCCTTGGATTAGCCCTTTATTAATCCTACACTTTTAATTAAGTGTAGGACCCTGCTTATGGGGGCGTCATAAAAGTTGCTTGGTTCCATAAAAAACCGACCCAGGTGACAAAATCTTAAATTAGCTATGGCCTCACAATCACACAGGATGTGTGTGGCTAATTCATTTTCTTGTAGGCACCTTTCATAAGTTGGGTTATCTGTCAGTCCCAGCTTGAAAAGGGGTCCTTTTAGGTGGCAGTGTCCGGTAAGTAATCTTACCATCCATCTTAGTTGACCTCTTTTTACTATCAACAGATCCTTCGTTCGTCTGGCAGAGGGTCCTGCTATAAAACCCTTTCCCTGTTTGAGTCCAATTATGGATTCCCAGTATTTTTTATGATTTCTATCAGTCCAGTCTCTGATTGCTTTTTTTGGCAACTCCAATTGAGATGCTGCAAGCTGGTTCAGGACCTATGAACGGCTGTTCAGATCCTGTTCTTGCCAGTCCCCCAGCATGATACTGTTACATGTATGGATATACTGTCAAGTGTACGTGTGTGGCTACAGACGGGGTTTGAATTGGTAAATGGATTTATTCATTCATTCATTCATAGTTCCAAAAAATCCATAGAGGCATCTGCCTCAGATATAGAACAAGTCAATAATGACCACTTATACAGACAACTCAGAACTACAAGCAATTACGGAGCCATTGCTTATCTCCACAATTCACAAATCGCAACAGAACCCACTAAGACTTTTTCCAGTCTGCAGCATCTTCACCAGCTGTTTCCTGGCAATGGCTTCTATTGGTGAAGATTCTTCAGCTTCACGCGCTCTGGTCCTCTCTTCACAGCCTCCCATACAGACCTCAACTGACAACTAACATTGTCCCTTGCTTACAACATCTCGGCATTGACGACATAAAAACACTGTTTTCATTGTTATAGTCCACCTGCTGCATCACTACGAATCCGCTGTCTAGCAATGGGAATGTTTACTGAGCCACTGCCCAGACATGATCACTCTTTACAGAGTCACTACTTAGCAACAGCAACAACACAACATGATGAAACTAACACAATATTCTGAAAAACCACTTAAAACATATGCTTCACAGGAATATCATTTTGTAAAACATGGAGGCTAATTTAATTTTCCCTACCTGTGGACAGTCTTCTAGAGGAATGCCAATGGTTACACCTTCTGGATGGGGAGCTGTGGGAGAATTTGGAGACCCTGAACCCTGCTGAATACGACGTAACTGTTTGGCCACTCTGCCCCTCCATGTTTTGGTCTTGGGAGATGGAATCTGATCTGTAGTAAAAGAAGTATATATTTTCATAATTAATAATTTTAAATCAGAGTGGAAAATGTTTACAAAATACTCACAAGCATGTACCTATTGCTGAATAGAACATCAAAATTATATCAGAGATACCAGAAGTGGAGGGAAAGTTGGCTCCCACACATATAAAAAGTATATGATGGCTCCAAGGAGCTGGTATAGCATAGTCTATATAGCAATTGGCTATGGGCTGGAAGACCGAGGGGTCACAGTTCAAGTCCCTGTAGGGTCAAGGACTGTCTATTCTTCATGTCGTCCAGACCGGCTCTAGGGTCCACCCAACCTCCTACCCAACAGGTACCAGGGGTTCTTTCCCTGGGGGTAAAGCGGCTGGGATGTGAAGCAGACCACTCACCTCCAGCTAGTGCCGAGGTCAAGAAAATGTGGATCTATACACCCACTCCCCCATAAGCCTTCATGGCGTAGTGCGTAATTAGTTAAGCACAGGGACAAATTTACCTTTTTCTATGATAGCTCCAAAGTTGACAATACCATTGAACACATGCATGTATGTATAAAGATGCAACACATACAGTTCCTCAAGGACTTACTAAGATATTGTAACATATGGTGTTTGGAATGATAACTGCATTTACTGAATGCTTATAACTTGCAACTATAAAGTCTTCCGTTTGTTCACTAATCACTGCTAGGTAATGGCTGCTGACACTGGAACTTGAGACTCAAGATTCTTAACCGCAAACTCAGACCTCCAACTCAACCGTCAGATGACAGGCTTGTCCAGTTGGTTGTTATACAAACTGGGCATGGACCACATAGATGATGTTGCCCCCAATGCCTCTCCACTGTTATGTGTTCATTCATTAATGTGAACATGTGTTTACTGTGCTGTTGGCTAGCAATGGTTGCATACAAAATGCAGTGTCTTCTATTGTTGCATGTTTATTCACTGCTGCAGACATGTGTTTACAAAACCACTGCCTAGCAAAGGGAGCACCCATTCACAAGTTCATAGATCTTATTTCTATTCTAACCTGTTTGACTTGGCTTGCGTGTTTTGTTGACTGGAGACTGTCCTGTGGGTGAACGATTATGAAATGATGTTAATTTGCGGATACCCTTGTGGGTTGGGAGAGGTGACAATCGGCTGTTACCTCCACCACTTACAGCTCCAGTTGACTGTGATGACTTTTGCTGTTGTCTTGAACTGCCGCCGCTACTGCAATTCTGAAACGAATTTAAATACACTTCAAACATGGTCAATAAATTTACATTTCATCCTCTACCATTAAACTGAATCTAATTAAAATGCACCTGTACCAACAAAACACAAACAATGTTTGTAACATTTTCAATGTTAAATCTTTTAAATATGCTGTCAATGCTTCAGAGTGCCCCAGGTATCTGTTTACCAGCATTGCAATACTTATAAATAAAAACTCAAGGATATAATGCTTAAATTATGATAAACAATTTTAAATTCTGCAGCAGTTTCTTAAATAGAACAAAACACAGCACCCCCAGAAAGTTGCAAAGATAAACAGTTAATGACAGGATGTTCTTTATTTCAACAAAATTGAAGAGAAAAGAACACATTCATACACTTAGAAAAGCTACGTAATCTTACACACATTGGAGTTCAAATTTAAGGAAGAGGGGCTGTGTTGGATTCTTAATGGTCAAAATTACCTTAAGGATAAGAAAGTTTGATACATACTTACTAGTGCTGAAAAACATCCCATGAAAATCAACAGCACACACCATACTCACAACAGACACCATCACACACCCTTGTCAACTAAGGTCCAGTTCACCTTCCACTTGGCCTACTGACTGTCTTAGCACGATAATTCCACTGCTTATCACTGAAGGTTTCCGCATAAACTATCGCAACTACCGTGAAATTCTTTCCTGTTCATTGAGATTTTAGAAGTATGCCATATGAACTATGAAGGATATAATGAAATGCAAAGAAAATTATACATTAACAAATCCTAACGTTACAACCTGGGGCACTTTCCAATCATGTTATATACCTTCAACAGTGTTTAATCAGCTGTCTGACAGACACACTAAAAATAAACATGCACCCAGTATGGGGGGGGGGTTATGGTTATCAGTATACTCTTTATCTGCAAACTGAACACACCTAGTCATCAGAATGTCTGTTCCAATATAAGGCACGTTTTCAATAAAGCTAATATTGACATAAGAATTCTTCTATCATAGGAGACAGCAGTCATGCAACATGAGGAATATCTCCTGGGCAAAGCTGTATATCTCACATTCCACGGCACACATGAAAGTTTACACAGGTCATGCCTTGTACTCCAACCAGACTTTGTATTAAGGTGACAAGTCAAGAAAAAAATGATTACATGATGCAAGTTAAGAACCTTGGTGGCATTCACCACTATATTACATACAGTAGTTAACAAAATGCTTCTATGAATGACTGACATGCAGAGGAATATATCAATGATGTTGAACATAAAAAAATCACTTAACCAAGAAATAAGTCAGTAACATATACCTCTGTTACAAATTAATTATAATGTACCCAAACTATTTCATTTGAATAAAACTGTACTTTTACATACAGCACCACACTCTTGATTAGAATTCCTTTGTAAGTATACTGGTATATTTAAACCCCTCCTAAAAGTTAAAGTTGATCCTTCTATGCAATAATAAAATTGTCTCAAGGTCATAATTTCAGTTTACCACTGGTTAACCCTGGGGAAAGAGCCCACAGTGCCCATTGGACAGAAGGCTGCTGACTCCAGAGCTGGCCTGGATGCTGTGGAGTAGAGAAACATCTTTTTCCCTTGCTAGGAATCAAACACTGGCCATCCAGCCCAAGCCCATCGCCATACCCACTGAGCTTATACCTCCACTTCCCCATGTCTTCATGACATAGTCCTTAATTAATTGAGAACAAGGACACTCCTGTGACTGCGTGTATAACACACGCAGTCACAGGAGCGAGACGCAACATAGAGCACAATACACGATAGTGAAAGAGTGCTCCAACAGACGATGATAGACGTGACTCGCGTAATGAAACACGACGTAAGAATGAAATATGCTGTATAATTTTAATATTTTAACACTTAACATTTATCAGTATATATGATAAATATATATTTTAGTTATTTTAGTATGTATAGACAAGGCATGCAATGAACTAGTTTGTCGTGGATTGTATCAGCACCTGAAGATGGCACATTTGTGCCGAAACATGTAGTGAGAGTGAGAAGAGGGGATAGATGAATGTATGCACTAGAAGACGGATAAAATAAATCACGGACTTGACATTATTCATTAAGTGTTAACTTTATAAACCCTCTTGTAGTAATTGTCACTTCTTTGAAGGGTCCAATCTTCTGGGATACATGACTGTGCAGCCCATTGAAAGTCAACCGATGTTTTGGAGGAACAAGTCATCTCCAGCTTCAGCCCCGCCGCCAAAAAAAAAATAAAAAATAAAAAGCCAAGCAAGAAAAGAGCATGAAGCTGGCAGTAAGCACATCGAGGCGACATGTTCATCTGATATGTTGGCTGACTTAGACTACAAAGTGTTATATCCCCCAAGTCAAAACTCTTCATAATCACTGATTTCATAACCTCAAATTCTACAAATGACTCCCTGATTAGAAATACCTAATACTAAAAGTTAAACACACCAAGTCCTGGCACTTGTAATATTCAAAAGAATATTTATTTTATAGCTTTAGTTCTACCTGAGATGATAACAAGCTACCACAATAAAGGATTCCTTTTTTGTGCTGGAAGACAACATTACAGTACATCTAACAAATGCTGTCAGACGAGCAAACTTATCTTATTTGCAGGGTCAAAAACAAACATACACACTTCAAATTATGGAAATAAAGCATGGACATTTAAGATTTTATGGTCTTCCCTGCCACTTATGTAGTGTCATTATTGAAAGTTCTTGTTATCCTCCTATTCAATACTCTACTATCTTATCATCATCAATTACATCATTGGGAGACAAAACCTGCACTGTGTGAAACTAAGTTCCAGGAACACATACTTTTGTTTTCATTTACCAGACAATGTACTTTCTCCAACCTAATGGTAACATAAATAATTTTCAATTAACTTCATTATTAGGATAAGAATGAAATAGAACACATTGTACAGTGAATTTTTCTTTACTTGGTACAAATGGGAAATGAGGTTTGCTGGTTACATTATCTGATGCTTGCAGGCCATTTCAAACTCAGCATTCATAATGTTCAACAGTTCTTAATTTATTTTCTGGTAAATAAGAGTATGTCCATAGCATTTGAGGATCTCACACCAGTGGTTATTAGTAGTTCTGTCTTCTGGGATATAATTCCATGTAGTCCATTCAAAGTCAACCAACGTTTTGGAGGGTCATGTCACCTCCATTTTTAAGGCAGAAGTATAAGCCAAGTAAGAAACGAGTGCGGAGCAAAGAAACTAGCATCAAACAGGTGGTAAACAGAGCTCTGCTTGCTACCTGCTTTATTCTGGTTCCTTCTTCGGCTTATTCTTTGACCCTGAAGATGGAGGCAACATTTCCCCTGAAAAATCAGTCGACTTTCAAAGGAATGCATGATGTTATATTCCAGAAGCCATAATTCTTCAAGAGTATGTTCTTTCACTTTTCACAAAAATTTCATCTCTGCAGCTCATGGTCTGTATTTGTCATGTTCTCTCTGTATCCTAATTTCATGCCATGCATGTTCACCCGCCATGCAGTGTTAACTTTCCCAGCTGCCACTAGTGGGACTACCCATCTTTGTCCCTCACGCAGGTGGTATTCCGGTAGAAGCTAACTGAATTTGTGGCACTGTTAAAGTATATTGTGACATGTAAGTTTTGAGGTTTTCACGGCGATGACAATGAAGAAAGTCGTCTTCTGGGTTTAGGCACCGTGTATTCTTCGTTTTGGCCGACGTTTCGGAGGAACGTAGCGCCTCCATCTTCAGAGCAGTTGAATGGCTTGGAATGCGGAGAGCAGTAGCTGTGGTGACATGTTGCGAAATGGAGGACCCCTACATCCCCAGCGGCACGTGGCGGTAACATAGCGCTCGCGTAATAGGTGAGTCATCACCCCGCCACTCTCCCCGCGGTGACGTGCCGAGCTGAGCCAAAGTTAGCCGAGTCCCCGCAACCTGGTAGCTATGCAACGCGAGTCAACAGTGGTCACGTCACCAAGGGATATCGCGGTTGCTAGGCAGCAGTCAACAACTCCTGTGACATGGCACACAACAGGCACCACTGCGGCTATATAAGGGAACTGCACAGCAGCTGCGGGTCACTTGTAACGTAACAGTCTCCGAGTCGAGTTGTACTGTGGCAGTCGCAGAGATCGGTAGTAGTCGAGCGAGAGCGTGTTATCAACAGTTCTCCAGTCAGCCGACTACAGTTGGAGTATAGCAGCCATCGCGGAAAGAAGAACTGGACATGTGTGTGATTGTGTAATTGGGAGTGTGTGATATAGTGATACATAGCTCCCCTACTGTAAACGTGTAGACTACTGAACACAGAGTGAACTGATTTGCGCATAGGGTTATAAATCGTGAAACCCCGCAACAGTGGTAACAGATTAATGCGATTAGGGTTATAAAGTGTGAAACCCCGCAACTGTGTGATAAGTAATTGTAGCCGTTACTTGTAGATTGTTCAATAAACCAATTAACGATCTTTATGGAATATTCAGTAATGAAACACGTTACAATATGTATTGAAATGTTTCCCCCATCAGTACACTTTGTCACCTAGGAAAACTACCACGCAAGAACTAAAGCGAAAACATATTCCCTTTATTTTGTATTGGGTTTCCATAACAGTTTTTCTTATGAAACCACCAGAACCTATCCTCAATACATACTGGATAATATGAATTTACTGTAGTAGGTAATAACCGACAAAGACGTAATTTAAATCTTAAAGAAGTTGTTCCCAAAGTTTATCACTTGAAGCTCTTCAGTAAAGTCAGAATGCGAAACTTCATACAGACTTATGTCATTTATTTGGATTTCTCTTTCCTGGTGTTCCTTGCAGATATCTACTTAATGTGGTCCATTACTATGCACAAAGAAAGTGGCCTCCATAGTCTAGGAGTAACGTTCCCACCTCATGACTCAAGGTACGCGGGTTCAAACTCAGCGGAGGTCGTGGAATTTTTAAGGGTGGAAAAATTCAGGGAACAAGTCCTCCGGGAGGGACTTTAAGCCGTGTGTCCTGTGTCGTAGATTTACAGCACGTAAAAGATCCTCATGTCTCTAGGAGACCTCTGAGCAAAACTAGGCAAAAAGTTTCCCACCCAAGTAGTTTCCAATTCCTCCAGTAGATGGGGAAGTATCGGGGACCACTGCCAGAGAGGTGGCCGACCTCGCTGGCAAAACGGGGCTGATAGAGAGCACCAGTACTCGAAGGGCATGGCAACTGGTAGAATAATTACAGGGGGACGCATAATAGATCAACAACTGGTCGCAGTGCATGGGAAAACCCACCCCCTCCAAAATAATAATAATAATGCACAAAGAATCCATAAGCACATGAAATGGTACGTTCACTCATCTTAGCATTTCACTGAGTCACAACTGTTTTCTTTGCTTCAACACAGCCTTCTATGATACATATATGTCTATGATGACATCTGATGGACCAATTTCTAATCACTACCAATACATATTGTTGTTAGATGATCTGCTTCATTACGGTAAAATCTGACAATGATACACGCACCGCCTAGGAAATTGTTTCATAATGTGAATGGGTTAAGAGACTGCAAAAGTATTATTTTTAAAACATTATAAAGAGAACATCATCCATAACTATGACATTTTGTATGCTCCTATGGGCTCCACAAATCACAGTCCAAAACCAATATTTTGAAGTGACAGTAGGAAACAAGGCAATATATTTCTGGGGATGGATTTTTTTGAAGTAGGTCATTTACTACTGAAGATTAGCATGCTCATACCTCCTTTTCATTAGCCTGGGCTTGAAGGGCATGGATCCACTGTACCATATTATCAGCATCTTCGGCCTGAAGTAGGAGTTCTGAGCCACTGAGGGTATTCAGGCGTAGAACATGTTTCTTCTTGGTGTAGTTATCGGCAATGTCAACTTGACTACATCGTACATCTACTGCACTGCTTGTGGACTGCTGCTCACTGAGATTGTCAGTCACATTCAGAGGTGTCTGCAACAATATCAGTAACACCAGCACTCGTTAATTTATAGCAAAATACCTGTTGAAACCAAGCAGTAATTCATGTATCCAATATATCTTCTGTATATAGCAACATATGCATTTACACAAAAGTGCAAGTTTGCATCCCGGCTATGGAATCAGTTAACCTGCATCATTTCGTGAGTTTCCTCAATATCTCCTGACAAATGTCAAGAATATATATTAGACTCAACTCCAATGCCTCAATACCAAATTTCATAACAAAAATCATGAAAAAATCGAAGTTACAAATAAATGTTTTATAGGACTGTCAAGAAGATATGACCTGTGGGATATGACATTCTCACAGCAGAGGTTATGAAGGGTTCTGTCTTCTGGGATATAACACCATGTAATATGCTGAAATTCAACCGACATTTTGATGCAAACATCACCTCCATCTTCAGGGCTACACGTTCCTCCAAAACATGGTTAACTTTCAATGGACTGCACAGCATTATATCCCAGACCACAGGACCTGTTCAAATTAGAGGGGGGAGGGATAAATGGGAAAAAATGCATCAATAGTTAGTAACAGTGCCTGAAGGTTATATATAAAGGGTGTCCGGATGAAAGGTATCCAAAATAAAATAATTATATCTCAGAAACCGCTTCTGTGGCCTAGTGGTCAGAGTTCCTGGCTATAGATCCAGAAGTCTGGGTTCGATTCCCGGAGCTACAATATTTTCTGAGATGTAGTGGGTCTGGAACAGGGTCCACTCAGCCTCGTGAGGATAACTGAGGAGCTATTTCAAGGAAAAAGCGGCTCCAATCCAGAAAACCGAGATTACGGCCAAGGGGAATCGTTGTGCTGACCACGTGACACCCTCTATCCGCAAAAGACGGCACTAACTACGCCGACAAGTGATGGTCGCTCGATCGGTATAGTTCACTTGCAGACCACAGTCCATGAAGCTTTCTATCTCAGAAACCATTTATTATATACATTTATGGGTTACAACTTTACAAAGGGAAACTATCAAAGGTTTTCTCTGAGTGTATCTTCAGATGACATCCTGTAGCCACTGCAGACTGAAAAGTCTTCGTCCACAAGTCTTGGCAAACATTTGGGTAGTAATGGGGGGGAGGAAAAAAAACATAATTTTCCAACAAAAAGGCACGAAAAAGAAAACAACAGTTTCCGTTTTAGCACTTAATGGAACTGACACCTGATTAGACAAAATCATAATAAAGGTACAGTCTTCTGGGTTCGAACATCATGTACTTTGGAGAAAGCCAGACACTCCTCCTAAATGTTAGGCTTTTTCCATACAACAATACAACCTAGACGACAATACTCTTCACAATATTGATGTCAGAAAAAAATCAAAGAAAATCTTAATAATTTTTACATACTGCAGTATTCATTACGACCCTTAAATTTATCAACTAGCCAACTTGCTTTAAAAAATGAACACTAAAACAGAAGAGGCTAATTTTGTAGTGATGTACCACACGGAAAAGCAAATCAAGTCCTCTGCATCTAACATATGCAAAACGGAATCAATGTACCAAGCTGATATGCATATCTGCTTACAGAAGTAAGGTAAAGTTTTCCCCATGTTTAAATAGTCACCATGCCATGAAGAAACACTGGGGATTGGAGGTATAGCTCCCAACATTCTTACCATGGAACCCAGGAAAAGTGACTGGTACATGTAGGATAGGAGACTGGGTGGGTACCAGATGCCGTTTGGATGCTTGCCCTCCTCATGAATCGAACCCTGGTTCCTTAGTTTTCAAGCCCCTTGCATAGCCACTATACCGACTGAGCTATCCTGACGGCTATCAGCATATAGAACTCCACCTAAAGGCTGTCTACTCAACATCTGGAGCTATCTAACGCAAGTCCAATATCGGATTATGAACCACTATATCAGCATTGATAATATAATCAAAAGAGTGACAGAGTTGGATTTCTGGTGCTGAAGAAACCATGGCAGTTAAGAAGTTAAAGATGTATTCTTGTTTGAAGGATAATGTATTTTCAACCATTAAGAAACAGGAAAAATTATTTATGCCCTACATATTTGATGGGCTAATATGAATCAAAATCAGCAACATAAAAAACAACTTTTAGTGTAAATCTCTCACACCAGAAATGCCATTCTACCAAAGAATTTTGGAGTGTTTGCTACCTTTCATTTACTTATCTACAAAACCACCGGCCAGAAGACGGGATAGCTCAGTTGTGATAGTGACAGGCTACAGGCAGGGGTTCTATTATCGGCAGTGGCAAGAGCTTTTTCACTATTCCAGAGCATCCAGACCAGCTCTGGGGCTCACCCAATCTCCTGTCCAGTGGGTACCAGGGGCTATTTTTACCCGGAGAGCGAGAAACCACGGAATGAAGCTGACCACACCCATATCTAGTGTCGATCTAATGCTGATCCAGTTTGTTACTTATGGCACTCCACTATTGTAGCGACGTTCTGAGGGGCTGGGAAAACAGTCCCTCTATCGAATTATACCTCGCACCCTCAAAACCCTCATCCACGCAACATGAATCCTAACACACTGGGGCTCACATGACCATTATCAATTAGCGCAAACTGCAGAAACCACTTTAATTTATTTCACTTCAGAAAAGTCAGATCTATTTGGAATGCGAAAATGTTATTACTAGTAATACTACTACATACATGACGTAAATATTTAAATACATACGATCACCTCTATTAATAGAAGGCAAAAAGGTAAAACTGTCCGTGCTTAACTAATTAAGCACTACGCCATGAAGGCATATGGGGGAGTGGATGTATAGATCCACATTTTCTTGACCTCGGCACTTGCTGGAGGTGAGTGGTCAGCTTCACGCCCCGGCCGTTTTACTCCCGGGAAAGATTCCCCAGTACCCATCGGATAGGAGGCTGGGTGGGCCCCAGAGTCGGTCTGGAACACATGGAAAAGAGAAAATTCTTGACCCTACCGGGACTCGAAGTCCGACCCCTAGGTCTTGCAGTTCATAGTCAGTCGCTATACCGTCTACGCTATCTGGGGGGGGGGAAGAGAGAGAGAAAAGAGAGAGAGAGAAAAGAGAGAGAAAAAAAGATATGAAATAGAAATGCAAAATAATCCATAAAATTAATATTTTCTGCTAAGTTTGGGTTACAGGAAGGATGGGATCGCGGGTGCAGTCGATAACTCCACTCCCGCCTTGTACCTACGCCACTAGAACATCCACACAATATAACAATGCATGATCATTGGCTGCATTCCTTTGTTCATATTTCAGGCTGTGGCAACAAATTCAGTAACATGTTACAGGACATTAGGAAAGAGCAATTATCTATGGTATAAGTACAGCGAGGGGCTACAGGCTGGGCGGACAGGGCTCGATTCCCGGCAGGGACAAGAGGCTTTTCTTTGCCGTACAGCGTCCAGACTGGTTCTGGGGCCCGACTAGCCTTGTATCCAACTGGTACAATGGCTTTTTCACCGGGGGTTAAGCGGCCGGGCCGACTACTTATCTGTATCTAGTGCTACGGTCAAGAATGGTGGAGCTATACGTTCTCTCACTCTCCTACGTCTTCATGGCGTGGTGCTTAAGTGATTAAGCGCCTACGGCAGGTTCATTCCTAGTATCTTCAAATAACGGCCTAATGGATATAAGCGGTCACTCAATTGTTAAGGTGTTCCCACACACAACTAAGCGGTATTGGTCTTGTGAGTTTAGCGGTCCTCACGGCAGTGATTATGAAAATGAGACGCCGTGTAGTCTGGTTGCTCGTTACCAACGTTTTGAAGGAATACGCTGCCTTCACCTTCACTGCAGAATAGGATGCCGAGTGTTGAAAGGAAAAAGTGATATAGAACTGGAATTGTGGGTGAACAAACATACTTCTTCTCCTAGTAGTTTGCTCGGGATACCGGCCCTCGCTCTCCCTATAACCGTATCATTTTTTTCCACGTTCGGATTATTGTTCTCCCTGAAGATGGGTGCAGAGGGTTCCTACGAAACACTAGTAATGACCTTTCTACCAGATCACATGTTGTCACATATAAGAATGCGGTATTCTTCAACTAAAAATACGTGTACATTTCTAGAGCGTCGCATGTTTGAAGCTGTGTGGCTTGTTCCTCACAGTGACGTCGCTGAATTATGACGACTGAAAGCACTCACCCAGGAACCCGCTGAACTCCATCTCCGGAGACGACGCGTTCTCAGGCTGCTTCCACCAAACGAAAGCGAGAGAGGGATACAAGAATAAGAAAACGGTTCATCGGGAACAAACATTGTTGTGTTGCTGTACTTCAAGAATGCGAATTCTACTTCAACTGCATATTCACAGCGTCAAACTGGATTGACTCTCAAACATCCTATGTTTGCATTCCACAAAAGAAACCCACGTGTACTTTTTGTATGGAGGCACACGAAAATCTTCCAGATCCTTGCTGCTCCACGGCGTTCACCAAATGCGTTTAAATAAACACAGACAACAATTTCGGTTATGTAACACTTAGAGTACTGCTAAACACTAACATTCCTGTTTTTATCCAGAGCCATTTACTGTTGAATCGATATGAACTGCATCACACTTTAAGCAGAAACATACATGCACCACAAATCTATGAATGATTTTAGGGAGAAGGGGTTATTTTTATCAGTTAGATGAGATAACAAGAACAATCTAATAGTTTTCGCAATGCAACTGTCAAACAAGAGTAATTATCTGATAGGGGATATCATTATAATCTACAAAACAACACAATCAAAGTAGCACTGCATATTCAATAACACTTTAAAGATGAGTTTGCCCGGTAACTGTTCACAATCCCAGAGCTCTTCACATAAGCACCTGAACACTGCCAGAAGAGAGAAAACTTGGAAAGCTGGAACCAACATCCTGAGAAAGTGTACTAACTGCAAAGGCGAAGATGAAACGACTCACATTTCTTAACTGACCGCGCTGCGTTATCTAAGCGTATTAACGAATGCCGACACTATAGCATCCCGTATACCTAACAGA